GGGGGACATGTAAGATACCGAGTAACAAACTTCTTTGCGAGCTGGGCTCCCGCTGGATACTTGGCTTCCGGATTACTGGATCCTGTATCGCCGGCCAGGCAGCTGACGATGAAAGAAAGCCTAAAAACTTGCGCTGCTGGCTGCTGGCTGCTGATCTCTCGAGTGTTGCGGTTACACGTTATACGTTACATGGGACCATAGCCTACAAAGACGGAAATAACTGAGACCATGCGAGTTTGAACAGAGAACAGCGTTGAGCAAAGTCTTGTCTGATTGATCGTGTGCTAGCTGTTATACATGGGTATCATTATCGAATTCATCATCGTGTGGACCATGGCCATCCGAAGCAGGCTGCTGCTACCGGTACACCAGGTCTCTCCAGTCTCCAGTCTGGTTTCTGGAGACGCTAAGAATATCTCCCCCCTTCAAAACATAGGAAAACCTGCTCCCTTGTGTGCTTGAATAAATCGCTCATTTCGCTTTTGTCGCTATCCAGGCCGTGTGCCCACATCCCCCAAGAATTGCTTGTCGTAATAAGTAATGGTACAAGAAGACATGGCACTGTTTAGTGCGTCACGTGTACCATACTGGGTCTCCTCTCGTACGTATAGCCATATGCGCCCGGGCCACTCGAATAAGCGTATTGTGTATCGTAGCTGTACGAGTAGTCGTATTGTTGTTCCTGGAGATCCCGCAGGAGTTCCTCCTCCAAGTCCTCTTCCTGGTCGAGCAAGTCCTCCACCGCGGTAGCACATCGGTCATGAGCTAACCTCAGGCCTTCAGTGGCATCCACCCCAGTGACTCTGCAGATACTGAGAATGGAATTGAGCTTGGATCGTTGAGTCTGAAATTGGGCTTCGATTCGCTTCGAGGCTGAGATGATGGATCCATATGGGCTCGAGGATTGGGCAATAGGTGACGAAACCACAGGGCTGGATGGTGCCGAAGAGATGGGTGAATTTGTAGGTGTGCCGGTAGTGAGATTGTAGCGAGCCGACAGGGGAGAATGAGAGGCGATCAGTGTTGCCAGTTTCCAAATATCACAGTAGATGCATTCTTCTACACATGCCGACGAGAGGACTGTCTGGGTGGCTGCCAGCTGTTGTTGGGTAGACACCATGGGCCGGAGACCCCTCAGGATCGCCGTCTTTGATTTGCAGCTTGAAGGCATTGTGTTGTGTGTTGAAAGATTGTTGATGGGAGTGTCCGACAGGGTTGCTGATATAGATAATTGTCTTGAAGGTGTCAGTCGAGGGGTCATGGAATTCGAGCAGATTTGATGTCTGAGATGTAGGAGCTGGGGACACGAGACTGGGTGGATAGCTGTCGATCTTCTGTTGCATGGCAGGGAGGAAAACGACGAGGCGGGATGGGAAGGGCAAGATATAATATGCGAATCTCACTTTCGGAGGTTTAATATGATGACTACCTTAACCCCTGGTTCATTTGGAACATCAGATTCAGGTGGAGGTAAGCAGGTGACTCTGGACTCACTCACCGTTGGAACCCTGGATGGACAGTCAGGATCAAAATGCAGCCACGCATCTGAACCCCCAAACAAGGGATGGTGGCATCCAGGTCACATTGTGCTGAGTCGAATGGGAATCATTGTTCGCGGATGCCACCACGTGGAGAGACAGGGATGGGCGTGAATGCGAGAATGCGGGCACCAGCTTTTGACGGTGAGCGAGACAAGAGTGACGGTGGTGACAGCAGATGGTGCCATGGTGGATGGTCGTGTTGGTCACTTGTCCCGAGAAGAGAAATTAGTGGGGAATTTACAAGGAGGAGCAAAAGGACAAAAGGACCCCAAGGGCCAAAGGGCACAAATGCCCAACCACTTAGCGGTCAAGTTGGGTGGCTAGGGGCCTCGAAAAGCGAAGGCAAGCCTAGCAAGCCTCCAGCAAGCCACCCAGAGATCAAGGGGCGATCCTTGACTAGGAGCAGCCCCTTCCTGGTCTCGCTAAGCGTCGTGACTGGTTCAACCGGTGCCCGTAAAGTTCACCCCGGGCAGCCCTGGTGGCCTTGTGCCTCTTGTGACGTGCAGCCCCGGGGTTCATTTGTGGTTACTCGGTGATGGCTAGGCAGATTCCACGGCCACAGACGGCGGTGAGTCGAGTGGATTAAAGCAGCTCAAGGTTAGTCATCTGCAGGTAGCGTCTCCGGAACAGTCCATTTGGTAAAGACTCTCTTCCCTTTTCGCTCACCTCACTCAGCCCTCACCTTCTCCCTCACTCTGGTCCTCACTCTTGGTCTCTTTATCGCCATGCCGCCAATTCATTCTTCCCCCCCCGGTGTTATGACTGATTACGTCCGGGATCAAAACACTTTGCCTCATTCTCGACCGGGTCTGTATCTGGTCGAATTCCTTCACTCAGCACTGTTCCGTCTGAGGACAATGCGAATCCACAAACTCAGTATCTCCCATGATCATCCTGCAAACCTCCAGCCCCTCCAGCAGCCCAACTAGTGAGGCAGCCCTCAAACCTTCCCAGGGTCCAGCCGCACCATACCTCATGCCGCAGACCTTGTGCCGCTTTTTCCTCGGAAGGCGTCAACCGTAGTGACGATATTTTCATCCCCCGGCTCATCTTTTGTTGGCTTCAGTCCTGCGCATCACACAATCTTTGCCTTCTCTGAAGTATTCTCCTAATGATACCTGTCCTGGATCCCTGAAGAGCTAGGGCCGCAGTCACACAGCACCTTGCCTTTCGGACTCAGATCTTATCCCGTACGCCAACTTCCGTGGGTGCTGCCGCTATTGCGGGTACCCTTCTCCGCTCTCTGTCAGCCCTACTTCCTCGCTCCACTTAGAACTTGCTGTTGCCCCTCAAGCCCTCCTACCTCGTTTAAGACCGGTGTGTTATTGCTTTCCGCATCGAGATTGTCTGTATCGTTCATGCATCCTTTGCTCGGTCCCTGTCTCGGCACCTCAAAACATTCAGCTATCTCAGCTGCCGTCCTTAGCCACTCGAAGCGAGGTGCACACAGGTATGGTGGAACAAGTAATCATGCCTCTCTGGTGGTAAAGAGCTTGGAATGTACATGGCAGACTGAACCCGGGGTAGCATACAAGAATCTATACGAACCGGCTAACGACATGTCAACATTGCCTGGCGTATGAACCGCGTCTCGTGTCCTTGTTTATCGGTGCCACCGTCACACCCTGTACTACGCCTTCTGAGTCATTCCCCTGGGGCCTTGAGTGACATGCAGTAAGGGGGAGGCCAAGTGCAGCGAGTCCACTTCTTGAATGTTATGGTTTCAGGAGAACATGGTTTGACCACAGCCTAGATCGAAATTGTTCCAGAACAATCTCTAGGCCATTTCAATCTCAGAGAGATAGGTACTAGGGAATTGACTTCCGTCTGATACTGGGAAGTTCCGGATGCTGCTCCTTACCTGCGACGCAGGGGTTCGTCGTTGAGCCATGAGGAAGAGCTTGTTGACGGTCCAGACAATGATGTTCGCTAAGATGCTCAAGGTCTATCTGACTCCTGTTCTCACCAGAGCCAAAGCAATTTGGGGAACTTGTCAAACTCTCGTTTACCCTGCCCAGACGCAGCTGCAGACACAACTTTTACGAGCCACCCCGAAACTGCATCGAGGATACCCGGTGAAGGCCGAGATATGAAGGCATGTGCGACGGAAAAAACTCATTGCATCTCGCCCCAACAAACATTGGGTCATAAAAAAAGCCCGACCCATGATCCCCGAGTGATGAAAATGGGATCCCCATGTCTGCCTACAATGGACAATGGACAGCGGACAGCGCAGGTGGTGACACAAAGACGACAATACCCGATGCCGGTTTATCTGCAAGGGGAAATACTGCCACAGTAATGCCATCGCAACCCATGACTGACTGACCGACCGCATTTTGCATGGATCCGGTTACACGACGTGATGCCCCAGCCACCTACCCACCCCCCTCCTGTTCCTGCATCTTGCCTTCACCGCTGCTCGCTCATTTAAACAGGGGAACCCAAGTGAGGATGTCTGCAGAGAAGGAGGAAAATCCGGCCCCGACTCTTTTTGGGGAGTTGAAGTTGGAAATGCTATCCTGCTGCACGTGTCCTTGAATATTTCCCATTCCCCTAGAGGAAAGGGAACAGGGAAAACTGAACAGAGCAGAGCAGAGCAGTGCGGAAAGGATTGGGTCTTTTGGAAATCGAAACGCGAACCTCGAAGTGGGTTTGTTTGTCTTCCTCTTCCTCCCCTCCTCCTCCTCCTTCTCCTTCACTTCTTCATGCTTCTTCTTCTTCCTAGGACACCATCCACAATCGACCGAGACCAAACAAACAAACAACAAGCTAAAAAGGAAATACTGAAGTTTCTCGAGACGGATAAATGAACAGCTGGATCGATGGATATTGGACAGTGATGGCGGGAAAGACATACACCATGTTTACACATACACACACAGAGAGAGAGATACCCCTGTTTCGCCCATGCTAGGCTGCCACATAGATATCGTGTCGTGATCATGATCTACGCCGCTCCCCCTCCACCCCTACGCCCACACGCAGCATCGTCGCATGTATAGATATACACATATACACATAGACATGGGTCTCGATCAGGATGGCACATCAATGTACGTACACACATTCCAACGGCGTGCATACGTACGTAGCCTTGCACGTCTCCGTCGGCAGTGGCTGTAATGAAACATCAAAGTTGAGTGGATGTGCTTTGCTCTGCTTTGCTTAGCCGGCTAACTTAAGGTCCCTTACCTACTGCCTACTGGCTAGGTATTCAACTATCGACGCTATTTTCTCTGCTGCTCTGTCAACAGCCAACCACATTTCTTCGTTGGTCAGGTCTGATCGTTTTTTTTTTTTGAACCAAGGACTTGTCTGTGAGTTACATTCCTGCGCATGGTGCTCGTAAACCGGACTCATGGATGGCATCAACCACAAACGCGCTAGACAACCAATATCTCATGGGTCTGTCTGGGAGCGTCGCATATTCATCCTCCGAGCGTTTCATGACCCAGCCTAGTATCTTGGGGGTGGTGGCGCACCGTAGCCGCCCTGTTGTGGGGGATAGCCTCCCTGTGGTCCACCTTGCGGAGGTCGTCCATAACCGCCCGATTGCTGTCCTCCATAGCCACCTTGAGGCTGGCCGTAGCCGCCCTGCTGTGGGGGATAGCCACCTTGACCAGGAGGACCACCGTAACCGCCTTGAGGTTGTCCATACCCGCCGCCTGGAGCACCACCATATTGTCCCGGTGGTGGAGCACCATAACCACCGCCTGGAGGTCCTCCATAGCCGCCAGGGCCACCTTGAGGAGGTCTCGCACCAGCTTTCTCGTCTTTGGTGTCGTAGCTCGAGTCGATACTACCGAGTAGGAGTTTGATAAGCCAGAGTTCGGGGGACAACTGGACAGGTGGATTAGCACGAGACATCTCGTCAGCTTCGACTTCGTAGTCTGTAGATCGTCATGTCAGCAAGAAAAGCCCTTCTGTTCCGCAGTCTAGTTTGGAGCTGTTCCCGAGGTAAATACATACTGGATGTGCAATCAATGATGTCACCGATAGTAGGCTCTTCATCGAGTTTTCCCAGAAACTCTCTCGCTTTCAGGTCATTGCCGACTTGTGCAAACTGGAATGCCAACGCTCCCTTGCCGTACCGCGGATTGCGCGCCAACTCGCTCGATGCCGCCGCAATGATCTTAGCCACATCGGACGAGCTTTCGCCCGTAGGTTGACCATCGGTGATGGTGATGACCAACACGGGCTTGCGCAAGGTCCCACGTCGGGCATTCTCCAGAACAAGAGGTCCGAGGATCTTGTTTTGTAATTCGCGACCCATGGGTGTGAGGCCGGAAAAGCGGGTACGCGCAATCATCTCATTGACCTGCTGCTCATTGCGAATGTTGTTGCCCTGGTCAGGAGAGTTCATGAAGCGCACTTGAATGCCATCGTCGTCGAAGAGGGAGGTGGCAAATGCGACACGTGATAATATCAACTTGAGGTCATCAATACGTTCTCCATTCTCTTCGAATTGCATGGATCCACTGTCATCAATGTACAAGATAACGTCGTACAGGGCCAACTTGACAATGTCCGAGGCTATTTCAGGAGAGATCCTCCATGCCGCGGCCAACTGAGCGACTTGTTGAGCGGCGCGGTTGGCGATCTGGTCAAGCATGGGATGGCCTGGTGGGTAGAAATTCTGGAGTCCTTTCTCTTGAATGGTGGCTTGGAGAAGTTGCTTGTAGGCGCCCACGTTACCAACCGGAGCAGGCGGGCCGCCGGGGGCGCCACCAGGGGGAGCACCGCCGTACTGCTGAGGGGGAGGGCCGCCGCCATATTGTTGAGGAGGACCACCAGGAGAGGGCCCGCCAGGGTATGGAGGTTGTTGTCCCTAATAACAAAGGAATGTTAGTGTGGTGGCTCAAGAAAAGACTATGCAGGTATGGGCACGAGGTAAGAGTGCAATGTGTAGGAACGAACATATCCATATCCACCAGTTGGTTGCTGTTGCTGCTGGTACTGCTGTTGTCCGTATTGATTCTGTGGTTGTTGATACTGCGACTGATAGGACTGATATGCTGGCTGCGGTGACTGATACCCCCCTTGCTGCTGGGGGACACCTAGCTGTTGACCATACGGCGGCTGTTGCGATTGCTGTTGAGGCGCTTGCCACTGCGGAGGCTGGTAAGGTTGAGGGGATGCACTAGGTCGAGGAGGAACCGCAGGCTGATTATAAGGTGACGGAGGCGGTTGTGGCTGTTGCTGCTGATACGGCGGTTGAGAGGGGTACGGTGGCTGCGGGGTTGGTGCACCAGGATATGCAGCTCCTGGCTGAGTTTGCTGCGCGATGCGAGAGAACTTGCTCATGTTTTGCAAGAGGAATACTTCTGAGGTCGGCGGATGGAAAAAGTGTCGAGATGGAGACAGGAGGTTGAAGAAGGATAAAATGGTGTGCGGTATGGCCGGCGCAGCGCAGGACGGGATGACGCAACCAAAAGGTGATTTGGGTGGAATTGGGTGAAATAAAATTTAATTGCAAATGACTAGAAACGCGCTTACCGGTTGACCTGGTCTGGGAGCCCCAGCACCAGCTCCAGCACCAGCACCAGGGCCAGGAGCTGGAGGACCACCTGGATATGCTTGATATTGCTGCTGACCAGGCTAGACAACAAAACCGCCGACGTCAGTCTTTGTCAGTTGTTACAAAGGTCAGTCTTTAGCTCACGTAGCCACCACCGGGAGCACCTCCAGGGGGAGGGGCACCGCCGGGTACAGGAGGACCGCCGGGATATGCAGCCTGTGCTGCGGCGAGTTTCGAAGCCAGCTATACACGTCATCAGTTAGGAGGAGTGAGCTTGATTGATTGCAAAACCAAGTCATGTTATGAGGCGAAGAGGCGCGAACAGGGTGGTGATTTGGGCATGAACTGGTACGAGGAGGAATGGGTATTGGTGCGGGGCAGATCAAGGGGGGATGATGAACTGAATGATGGTACTTACACCCATGATTGAGATGCTGTTGCTGGTCAAGATTCAAGAGGAAGAGAAGAGCAAGGCAGAGATGAGAAGAGGGAGTTTCAGATGGACGTTGAACAACCCTTTTAAAGGGGGAACCAAGGTACTGAAATTCACAAAACTTGTGATGATGGCCACGGTCTGAGGGACATACCATTCCACCAGCCCTGGTGACAAGGAGGGGTTTAGCCTGCAGCTTAGTGACAGGGCTGTGCTAGCTGAGCTACAGGGGGGGGAAAAGGTCACTAAGTAGCGGGGGGCCTAGCTCCTCACCTTACCTGCACAAGTTCCCAGGTGCCTGGGCACTCCTTATAGGCGAGCTGGTACCTATTTTGTCCTCGGTCTCAGACCCATCGGCAGAGTTTCCTTGGTGGGCGGGCCGACTTGTTTACGTGATTCCGTGGATCTTGTTATTGGCCGGTGCTTTAGCTCGTAGCCTAGCCAATAATGGTTTAGCCTCGATATCGAGTCCGAGATCTCTTCGAGAGATTTGCATCCATATCGGAAGTGTCATTTCCTCCCAGGGCCATTTTGGTCCTTGAGACCCGACATGTACTCCTTTGGTCTGTTGAATGGATACTCTGAATTTCCTGAAATACTACAATCCAAGATCTGCCCCACGAAAAAAAAAACGAAAAAGAAAAACCAAAACCCGCCGGTTGCAGCGCATTATCCTGCTTCCATCCTACCCATCTGAGCCTCAAGCTTCTCGATCTGCGCTCTAGTCCAGACGGTGTCACGGTGGGAGACGCCGAGAAGAAGAGTCTGGCCAGCTAATGCCTGCTGGTGCAGTTTCCTGGCTTCAACTTTGTCAAATTCCTCCACGACAAAGGCCAGGTCATTGATTGCCCAAAGGGTATCGTGGTGGTCCATGCCCAGGACTCTTTCCCGTCCCTCAAGGCAAATACGGTGGTGCTGTGCACTTTCGACAAATCTTCCTTGGTCGCGGTAGCATCGGCCTATATCAGCCGTGGCCCAGAGGACGTGAGGATGGTCGGCACCGAGGAGCTTCTCCTGAATGGCAATGGCCTCTCTGTGGCGTGATATTGCAGTCACGGGGTCCCCCAGTTGTCGATATGCTCGTGCCAGTGTGTTCAAGGTCCAAGCCACTTGTAAATCGTCTCCAGACGTCTCCAAGACGGCAAGTGCTCGCAGATGCATCGAGATGGAGTCTGGAGTGCGCTTCAAGTGTCTATACATACGGCCCAGCTCGTTGACCGTCCAGATTGTTTCCGGATGGCTAGTTCCCAGATGCTTCTCCTGGATCGCGAGTGCCTTCTCTTGCGTGGAAGCTGCCAGCTCGACTTTCTGCTGTTGGTCGTATATAATTCCCAAGCTGTTCAACAACCAAACCGTCGACAGCTCGTCCTGCTGGGGAGATTCCTGTTTCCTCCGCAGAGCCTCGGTCATCCATCTCTCACCTTGATCGAGCCTGTTGCTCATGGTATATTCTCGGGAGAGGTCTCTGATGACCATCAGCTTTTCAAAGTACGTTACCTTGGCTCTGCCGGTGCTGTCTGTCTCTGAGCCGAAATCTTGCTGTTCTTCGACGTTCTCTACATCCAACAAGATCTGCTCGACATCTCGAATCCAATCCAGGCGATCATCGCGCTCCCGCTGCCCCGCGGATGCCCATTTGCAGAGCTGTTTTTGGAGTTTGACCAGGTGTTGCAAAGGGAAGACTGATGCTTCACCAAATAGTTGCCGCTCGATCCAGCTCAAGCGTCGTCGACGGCATGCCAAGTAGCTGTGCATCATCTCATCGAGCTCGGGTTCATATCTGGATCGTACCAGGTGGTACGCCCAGAAGGACATGGCGTATTCAGATAACGGGAATAAGACGTCGGTTGCGAGGTTGGTCTCCATCTCGGCAGCCTGGAGAAGGTACCTGAGACATACATTTGCAATATGAGAGTGGCCATCTGCCTCTCGAAAGGGCAAGCTCGATCCGTCGTCACTTTCTTGCGCAGAATGATTTTCGGTCACATCCAACAGAAATTCCCGAACGGAAATGTGGACAAATCTGAAGATATCCTGGTCTGGGAGGTATTCAACCAGAGGACTGCAAATTTCCAGCATCGCCTCTTTAAAGGGTATCTCTTCGATCCTGCCAACAGCCAAGGCTGCTGTCAACTCATTCCAACCGACTGGGCGGGCGGCGCAACACATCCAGGTCAAGAATCTCTTGGTGAGCCTCTGACTTTGGCGGGACCTTGTTTTGAATCGTTCCAAGATGGCGTTGTAGGTCAGACTCAAGCCCACCGGGTGGTTGGAGATTATATCCATCGCATCGTAGGTGCTCGTCGCCGACGTCAAAGACTGTAAAAGAAGGCTGGCCCAGAGGAACATGCCATCTGCTCCTTGGGAGAGTTTAGCAAACATTTTGTCACGCAATTCTGTATCAACAAAGTCGAGCTTGGACAATTGACTTGTGACGAACATGTCAATGTCAGCTCTTGTGTCTCTCGACTTTATTTTCAAGATGGAATGTGGATGAGAACCAAGTTGCCTGGTTAATCGAGGTAAGTCTCTGCTCAATATCAAGGTGCGAATAGTCACTGTAGACCCGGTGAGTGCGAGGATGTCCCGCAGGACCTCGTCCGGGCTCTCGGCCTCGTCTAACCCATCTATCAAGATATAGACTTCATCTAGGAGGCCACAGAGAGACGTGATGAGGAGGAGAGGTTGGTCGGCCATTGAAAGTCGAGGCCTCGCGCATTTTGTCGACCTGTTGTAGGATTTGAGCACCACCTCTGGCAGGTCTTCAAACTGGGCTATTATTTGTGCGATCAAGGTGGCCAGGATGGAGATGGTGGTCCGATTCTGCTGAGAGTTTTGGGAACAGTAAAAGAAGGCAACAGCTTTGAGCTCATGAGCATTTCGAGAGGTTTGGATGTGCTCGATTATGGAAGTACTTAGGACCGTCTTACCCGAGCCTGGTGGTCCGACAATCCACAAGATGCGGTTGTCGATGGATTGGCACCACTCTCGGAAGAGATGGTGATCAAGGAGCCATTGGCCGCACGACGAGATGCGCCGATTCGATTCTCTGAGGAAGTCATCTTGTGCATCGGCTGGAGACAGCCACCTCGAAATGTTCTGCCGCGCCTCCGGATACCCTTTCCAGAGGTCAACAACTTTGGTGTCGTTCGATAGCGCGATCTCGTTATCTAAAATGAGCGTGTGTCGAGAAAGAGCTCTGAGAGTGTCACGGAAATCAAGGTCGAACGTTCGCCAGACGTTTCTCCAAAGCAAGCTGAGGCCTACCACCTGTCAGCGTCGAGACCGATTTTTCGACAAAACCGAGCCAACTGACCGCGCTTGGAAAATACCGTCTTTGCTTTATGCAGAAACACCAGGGTATCATAGTATACCTCTGCCAGTGCGGCCTGGAAACGAACATGGCCCTTGAGAAGCTTCTCGTACTCGGCATAGAGTGAGACTTTATCGCTGATATCTTCGATTGCATGGATCAACCTCTCCAGATACTGGGAATGGGCTGAAGAAACCTAAGACTGCGTCAACACTATCCAGCGGTGGTTCTATTGTAGAGGAATGGACGAACCACCAACACTGCTCTCACCAACCCCCACACGAGGGAGAATGGTACAGGTCGCGCCTGCGTCGCCGAGTCCAGGGCTCGCCCATACCGCTCGAGAAAGTCCAGGAAGGGTCCAATCCGGGACTGGATCTTGCGGGTGCGACTGGAAGCCGCCTGCTTCCGTTCCAGCCGTTGAACCTCGGAAACAACGTCTTCGAACTGTGTGTGTTGAAACTGCGCTTGCTCGTCAACACCGAGGGTGGCACGAAAACGTTCAAACGAGATCTGCAGGGGCTGAGGGAGAGGTCGGTGAGGCTGAACTGCTTGGGACATTTGCACCATCTGCGCCATTGCCCACAGACAACACGACCTTGGTAAGGAGAAGAGCGACACGGAGACGGACTGGCAGGACTGGCATCGCAAAAGTTCCAATCCTTCCCAAAGTGAGGCATGAGATTCCAGGCCGTTAGTGTCGACTACCGCTTCACTGTTCCGACATGTGGAGGAGAACTACCGACAGAGCAAACAGCCTGATAGTTCCACACGTTAACTTTTTCTTTTGATGAGGGTGCCCCGGCAGTACAATGGTTTCTCTGGGATGGCAAGTTCAAGGGAGGATTCCTGTCTCGTCGTGCATTGAGCCCGTAGAACCGGTGAACCCCAATGTGCTGGCGTCCACACCCTCTACGAGGTATACTATCACCGTTGAAGAAGTTCGCGGTAGAAGCTAAGGGACCAACCCTCTGAGGTGGCACTGCAGCTCGGGGTACTTGACCAGTTATTGTCCCCCCCCCCAATGAAAAGTGAGTATACTCCTCCCGCATGAACGCCCACTGCACTGCGCCTTAGGCAGCAATCCCGCAGGGGCCGCCGCCTGGGATTGGCACTGACAGCGCACTGGAACACCTCAAGACAAGCCAATATCTTGAAGGAAGCGTGCCAGATTTCGAATGCATGTACAAATCAGCCTTAAGCGACGGTCTGGGTCCGATTCTCAGCCTCACCACGTTTGCGCCCGCACACCTCTTTCGATGGCGACCTCTTCGCGGAGAGATTGCGTCGTCACCAAACATGAGGATCGAGAGAATGAGCTGGCCGAATGCTCTGTGTTGGTCAAAGTCCTTAGCCTGCGCCTGCCCAAGGACCTGAACAAGACGTGGTCCCATATGGGCTATGGATGAGGCTCAGCAGAATGGGTTGAGGTCGCCCTTCTTCTCTCAGTGGACCGAGTATTCGTCTTGGTACGTACCCCGGATCTATAAATCCTTCCTTCGGCATCAATTTCCTCCTCTTTCAACGATAGCTGCCTCGAAAATCATCATCTTCCAACCATCTCTATACTTCAACTCAGCCCACAACTCCATCAACCATGGCGCACGCAATCTCGCCCCATGATCTGACGGAGAAATTCATTGCTCAATTTACCGCCAAGTTGAAAAGCACCGACTTGGTCACTCTGCTCAGTAGCCATCTTCAACAGAAGGATGCCGACTCACGCATTCTGCACATCGACCCGTCGGTCCTGGAGTTGCACCTCGAGCTCCTGGCCTACGAGAATGCCATCAAAGTCGCGTGCACCTTCCCGACCAAGCTTGCAGAGAGACTGGCCCAGCGACAGGGAAATGTCCCAAATCAAAGGAGTCAAACCCACCATGCAGTACCGGGTCGCACGACCGAGCAATACGTCAACGGCGGCCTTTCGAAGCCAGAGTCTCATCACCAACCGGCCCTGGATGCGGTTCAGACAGCCAAAGCCCCCGTCAACAGCGCCTCCGCGAAGAACGAGCCAGATCAGGCATTTTCTTACCTGGTCAAGGAGGCGACAAAGCAGTCTGGAAGAGAGGAAGTCAAGAAATCTACATCTCGACCAGATAGCAACGGCCGCGCTTCACTCAACCATGAAGCCTCACGGCCAAATATGAACACGGCACCAAGTCCAGGCCCAGCGAACGGCCACAGGACCGGTCCCACGAGCTTCTAGCTGGGTGGAATGTGGTAGATTCTCTGCTGGACACCGGCGGGACGTGTCAGATGACTGGTCGCTGTGGCACCCACTGTCATTGCGAACAACCAGCTACGAATCACGAATGCTGACGACTCAGAGGGCCAGAGCGGATGGACTGGAGGAAAGGGACCACCTAGAGAGCTGCAGATGAAGAGATGAGCATCGAAACAGAGGACACTACCTAGATGCCGGTGCCTGACTCAGTGTGGAGGATTTTGCAAAAGCGCAACACTGTCTTTCCAGTAGATAGGTTCCATACGAGTCGATAGATACCACACGAGTAGATAGTTTCCATAGAGTACAAAGTTTCATATGGGTTTATATGTAAAGGTCAATTGGATCACGACGATCCCAAATACAGCTCTATTCACACGCTATTCCGTGCCCCTCAAAGAGTTGCTATGACTCCTTTCCAAATCCTCATCATGAGCTCCCTCTCCTTCCCATGGCTTACATTGCACCATTGTCACAGTTACAAGTGACAGTGACAGTGACAGTGACAACTGACAGTTTATACCACTCAACTTGTAAGGCCTCTTTACAGGTCTTGTGGGAAAATTCCCCCCTTGCCAGCGTCGGATCGTTCCAAAAGTGTCGCTCTCTCCATTGTCTGAGTGCTTCTGCCTGTCACCCGTCACCCAGTCTGATTGTCCAAAGCAGCCACAAACAATTCAATCAACTGTTCCCCACCAACGTGGCGAAAAAAGTCAGCCTCGTTTTCAGCTTTTTCTCTCTCTCGGGGTTACAGTTGGGAATGAAAAGAGAACTCACGTATTTGGTATACTTGGTATTCCCGGCAGCGGGCTGCAAAATGGCCATCTTCTCGTCCAGGCGGTCGGGGGAACAATACACCATCTGCTCCAGTCCGGGACTGTTTTCGAGCTCGCTGATAAACCCCAGGGCTTTGTCACTGCTTCCGACGCGGGAGATGATGAAGACGACAGACCCGTCGCCGAAATTCGTGCCCGACAGGTCCTGTTTGCACTGTCGAATCTTGTCGCGCAGCGTTTCGCGATCTTCACCAAAGGGCTGTGATGAGCGAGGTATCAATCAATCAGTCAGTCTCGGATTTGGAAACCGTTTATGTGGCTTCTCAGAGCTCCCCTTACAACAAACGAGAAAGGGGAAGGATAAGAAATCACTAAGAGCCCTCCGAGGATGTTTCAAGCGCTATGTCATGTCTGACTTACCTCGCCGTCGGTGATGATGACCACAATCAAGGGCGTATCAAAAGTCCCCCGCCTCACCTTCTCGACGATCATGGGCCGTATGATCTTGTCATGCAACTTGCTCCCGAGTTCCGTGATCCCTCGCCATCGGACACTGGCGACTTTCTGCACAATGTCGTCTGGCCGTCTCAGGTCGTCGAGCCGCGAATCCTGGGTATAATTGAGGAAGCGGATAGAAATGCCGGTATCTTCGAACAATGTCGCTATTTCCACGACCCGCTTGAGAGTGGTTTGCAATGCTGGTATCCGATTTTCTCTTCTCATTGACTTGCTATCATCTGCGGTGAAGCACGCACGATTTAGCCAGCGGAAAGCAAAAAGCCAGATGGATGAGCCCTGCTCCTTCCGGGGTGAGGACAAAAACTTACCACAGAGGATCACGAAGTTGTACAGAGCGAGCTTGATTGCTCCAAGGGTGGTTTTCGGCGGTAGTCCATATCGGGCTGAGACATCGGCCGCCCTGGCGGCAGCGTTGGCGGCGACGGTCTGCAACCTGGGGTTGTCCTCGCCATAGATCCCTGTGAGTCCGATATTCTTGATCGTCTTTGTCAGGAACTCTTGGCTTTTCTGCGGAGAATTGGTCACTTCCGCATATGTTTGTTCCGAATCGTCCGAGAGAGGAGTGAGTGGTCGCTCTTCGAGATCGGACTCGGATGATCCGCCGTCTGGGGTGAGCGGTCTTTCCTCATTTTGGGACACAGGCCGGCTGCTGAGAGGGGGCTCTTCGCGCATTCTTGAATGTCTGGTCTCGGAAGAGAATGCTCCATGGTCACGCTCCCGAGCCGGCATTGAAGAGCTTATAGAGTTCGCTGAAGGCTGCCCAAGGCTACTGTATGTTGGGGGTAACTCCCTTTGGGGCCGTTTAACATTTGCATCCGGCCCTCTGGGATATGATGCGGCTGGGTCCACGGCAGTCGAGCCGGGCTCTTGCATCTGGGCTGCCTTTTTGCGTTTGCTTTCCGGGTTCTGTGCGGCCAATTCTGAAATGGAACCGAGCTTTGAATTTTCTCGCGGTGATATCCTAGAAGTAGTAGGTTGCTTAGAAGACTCGACACCACCTCGGTTTGGTTGAAATGTTGGTGATATCCCTGAAATGAACGGGGGGTTAGAAGACCTGACACCTTGGAGTGGTTGTGTATGTGTTGGTCCCCCAGGAACGAACGGTGCGTTAGATATCTCAACACCTCGGTGTGGTTGAGTAGGCGCTGGTCTCTCGGCAGAGAAAGGTGATTGGGAAAACTCGACACCTCGCTTTGGTGGTTCATTGTTCGAGGAATAACGACCTGGGTGGTCTTGATGTGGCTCCTGGCGTTCGGGGACCAAGGTTGAAGCCTGAGATCCGTCGAATGAGGGTTTTGTTTCCAACCCCCAATCGGTGTTTCTGTTATTGAAGTACCCTAGGTCACTCCCTCGGAGGGGTGGTCCATAGGTGGGCTTTGATACTGGATGCCCAGCTATATTTGTTCAGGGAAAAGGATCAGCTATCAGTTTAAGGCACACTCGAGGGAATTCCAGGAGTTTCGACATACCATCATCCATCTTTGGTGCATTCCGAATCGCCGGGCTTTGTATCCGTTCCTGGAGCAAACTTGGAAACATCTTTATCATTTCAATGGCCGATCGCTCGGACACTGCCCCTATGAGTCCATCGAGAGCGTCCGGATTGACGTTGTCGATGCTGTCCATGGATCTGTTAACATGGCTCTCTAAGAGGTTACGCAGATTGGACTCTCCAAGAATAGAAGTCAGGCTCTGGGTGTATTTCTCCGCCAGTTGGCTTGCGTGTTGGGTCATTTTGGAGGGGATGGTGGATGTTACAGCGGTTAATGATGGTACAGTAATGTGATCTTGTCTTTATGTATTTGCAGGCCTGGTGTCAGTTGCATCTGCCAATGCTCTGTCGTTCGTCTGAGGGAGGAGTGGGAAGTTGTCTGCGAGGGTATCCATCTACTCAGCCTCATGACTAGTTGCATACGTGGGTCCAGGTCCACAAGACACGTCAGTTGGCAAACTAGAGAGATGCAGGGTGGTGGTGTCCAGTGGTTTCAGGCAGATGTGCAGCAAATGGCCCAGTTCAACGACCAGTCAGAAGCTTTTAGTTTACCGAAAGTGATGCGACCAACCAGGTTGCCTCAGGCAAATAGAATACGAGCTCCGCGTTTCTGCCTTTTGTATTGCAATGACTGTCGGAGGATGATGGAGTGAGACATTCCCGAAGCACTCGACTGGATTCTGGTGGTCATCCTCCTTGACGCGGCGATAGAGTCTACCAAATATGGCCACCAACAAGAACAGGAACACGGTCAGGGCCCGCAATGTGCCCCTGGGATATAGCGTCGAGAGTGTAAAGGATGTCATCTGTCATCGATTCGAGGCCTCGGAGAAGACGTCGATAACATGCAAAATAACACTTGCTCCAACATGCACAGACAATGGAGAGACTCAAACCGCCATCATCAAGTTTAGTCCATCCATGCCTAGCTTTCTCAGCCGTCTTAGCGAGAAGAGAGAACAGATCGAGATGAAAGACTCCAGGGACATAGACATCGACCAGGATTTCTATGGTCTCACTCAACTGTATCCAACCCACGGGAGCAGAATTCCTCTTGAGTAAGTACTGAGAATATTCTCCTTTGGGCACATGAAAACGCTGACCGCGGAATCTCGGCAGCATTATTGCAGTCACAGGTCTCAACGGCCATGCCTTCGGTTCGTGGACCGGAGGGAAGGACCGGATGTGGCTTCGCGATTTTCTCTGTGAGGATGAATATTTGAAAGCTTGTAGGACCATGATTTTCGGGTACAACGCCAAATTGAAAGATCAAGCTGTCCACATGACCAGAGATTACGTCCGAAGCTTTCTAGAGGAACTCAGGAAAGCGAGAAAAACCCGCGAGGTGTGTGGCATCTATTGGCGCTGGTGGTTGGGCTGACACAAAAGATGATGTAGGAGAGAAATCGGCCGATAGTATTTTTGGGTCACAGCTTTGGAGGCATTCTTATCGCTCATGTATGTATACCATTGATTTCGTCACAGGAGAAGCTGAGTCTGACGACGAGATTGGAAATATAGGCGCTGGTCAAGGCCAGAGAGAAGGATGATGGGTCTTTGGTCAAAGCAACTCATGCATTCCTTTTCTTTGGTGTACCACATCGTGGTATCAGCCTCTCCGATGTTACTAAAATGGTCAAAGATTTAGATTATCCGCTTCAGAGGGAAAAGCTGGTGAATGAAATCATCGAATCTTCCTCGGGGATCAATCCCATCATGGAGAGCTTCATCAATATGACCATGGGCAAAAAGATCATTTCGTTTTATGAGACTCGAATGACCAGGGCAGTTGCAAAGGTAAGTTTCCGGGTCGGTCCAGGTAGCAGCCAATGCCTGTCTTACATTTCGGCAGAATGAGGACGGCTCGTATGGGCGCTCCGGAGAGTATATAGAGGTTGTGAAAGAACCCTCTGCCAGGTTGTATCTGCCGCATCAGATCGAAGAAGCAATCCCCGTTGAAGGCGATCATTCGACCATGGTCAAATTTGCGAGTTCGGCCGACAACACGTACCAGTCCGTCCGCAACTATTTGAGGGATTATCTCGAGTCGTTCGGATTCACCAGTGGTTGGTTTGGTTCCGTAGGCATCGTGGCATCTTTGGTCTAATCTGCGAGCAGGCTCTTCTTTTGCGACCCGAAATGTCCATGATCCGTCCGATAGTCATCACGCAGTCGCTGAAGGTCTCGTGGCACACTTTGCCCACACACCAGAACCTTTAGATCAGGCGTTGAGACTCGCTGCTGATCTAGGCCTGGTCGTGGAAGCGCTGTATCTGCTGAGAAAGGGAGCCCATCCGAACTTTTGGGACACGGAGCCCCGGTGCGGCCAACCCAATGAAGAAGAACTAGAAGAAAAGAAACTGACATTTTCCGATCCAGACCACTGGGCGCTTTGTCGTCTCATTCGGCCACAATATCTGGCCCTAGATGGAAGATCAAGTCCAATGGAGACATAATGGGACCAGGAGAGACGGCGATTTTTCGAGCAGCCGTCCGCAACCATAAGCATGTCGTTGAACTTCTGCTCCAGTGGCAGGCAGATCCCAACCTAGCAGCTGAGAGTGGAAAGACTCCTTTACACGAAGCTGCAAGCCGTGGTCATCTCGCCCTGGTCCAGCTGTTGTTGGAGCATCGGGCAGATCCGAACGCACGAGATTCCATATGGGAAAGCACACCTCTTCACGACGCAGCGAGGGCGGGCACAACAGCTGTGGCACTGCTTCACCGATATCATGCCGATCTGAATGCACAATTGAAATTCAGCCGGGACACGCCGCTCCATCTCGCCGTCCGTGAAGGCCACGAAGAGGTGGTCTACTTCCTGCTCGAGAAAAACGCCAATCCTGTCCCTACGAACAAAAGCGGACGCCGACCCGTCCATGACGCAGCGCGAGCCGGAAATATCAGCTTGGTGGGCTGGCTGCTGGAACGGGATCGCAAAGGCGAGACAGATCCACGCGATAACCGGGGGTGGACGCCCATGCACGAGGCAGCCTACGGAGGCCACAACAACGTCGTATGGTTGTTACTGAGGCGAGGTGCGGATGGGAATGCAGCCCTGCGGGATGGGAGACGAGCTGTCGACTTGGCCAAGGAGCGCGGGCATGGCGAGACTCGAAAGCTCATACTGGCATCAACCGCAGGGGAGTGAGTCGGGACCACAAGTTCAAGCCAACTGATATACAGAGGTAGCACTGGCAGTTTCCCCACATTCGATAGCAGCCACGGTCACAGTGATGAATCCCTGGCTGTTGACCGCGCTGCCGATGGCTATCTTGATCGAACTGAGCTCTTGGACGATCGAACCCAAAGCCGCGTTCATCTGCGCAAATTGAGTGGCCGGACGACGATGATGCCGCCCTGTATTCATTAGTTTGTCTCCTCCCCCTCCCCCCCTCTCAAGCTCACTGCCGACGGATATAACTCTATTTGAGCACCGAGACGACTAAACAGCTCAAATTCCATTCTTTCACCTGACTTCGGACCCCGAAGTATCTCACCAACAATATCAGAACCAGGCGGGAGGTCATGTTCGAAGCACGGCTCTCCAGCACCCCTCATGTTCGCCAGGACAGCCTGTCTAAAGTGCCATCGTAGAAGCGGATCAGCAGGCGCGTTAGGGCGAGTAAATAACTCCCGATTAAGATACTTGCCTTCAATATCAAACGCTGTAGGCTGAAAGGCTACAATCTTGTAGTTGTCATCCGGATTAATCGAGATAGAGTATGAATCGAATAGTTGCTGTATATGGGAGCTGAGTAACATTCCATTCTGAACTGAGTTAATAGACCCCCCTTGTACTGGTTGACTTGTAATCCATCGGCCGTAATTCTGTTTAATCCAGTTACCTTCGTAGGCGAGTGGAAAAATATGTGCAGCTTTAAAGCCTCCCCAGAAGTCGATACCGTTAAATGTAGGTATAGACCGTCCAGATATAATACATTGACGGTCTCGTGAACGAACGGCCTCGGTAAAGGTAGCGACTCGACTTCCAGTAGCTAGACTAATTGTCCGGACGAGCCATGGCTCATCATTAAGTCGAAAAGAATGAGTAGTAATAATGTAATAGTTTCCAGGTTGAAGTGGATAGTCGTCTTTCTCAATCTTCGTTTCGTTCTCATTTTGTAGAAAGAAAGGCCCTTCGAATATAATAATAATCTCTATCATTGTATAGAAGTTGGCATTTGTGACACCGGGTAGGAGGAGTAGGCCGCCAATTACGGTGGTAGGATCATTCAAGTCGTAGATGTGGACATTTCGCCCTGCTGAGCGATCGCGTGTAGGCATGGTATTTTGAGGCGAAGAGGTTTCGGTTTCGGGTGGAGGAGAGGTAAACGTCTTCGGGAACGAGGGCGAGGACGCCATGATGGAAGCCTAGGACGTAAAAGTTGCATTAGAATGGCAGATGGCAGGTGCAGACTTGTAATTAACATAGGTTGCAAGAGGTTCGGAGTCGATGGGAAGGAGGAAGGAGGAAGGAGGAAGGAAAACCTGGTGAGCGCATGTGAGCTCGAAGCAGCTTTGACTTCTCTTTCGCTGCCAAGAACAAGAACCTCAGTGATGTCGACACCACACCGCCGAAAAATACAGCCTTTGTTACAATGATGGCGATTGTTGTTGGGATTGTTATCCTTTACATGCTGTGGCAGGTGATTTCCTTCACTTGTCTGATGCAACGCAGCAATCAAGAGACTCTGTTATTCCAGTGCCTCTACTGGGGGTTGACTCTGCCCGCCGCTGGCCGTCTCATGTACGGGCTCACCGCCTGCGCAACATACTACGTCTACGTTCATCGTCCCCGCTGGCTGCGGCGAGAGACACCGCTCCGAGAGCAAGCATTTCAGGCATACGCCATAGTGTTGGTCGTAAAGATGAAGCTTTTGGCCATTGTTGTTGTTGTTGTTGTTGTTGTTGTTGTTGTTGTTGTTGTTGTTGTTGTTGTTGTTGTTGTTGTTGTTGTAGGATTTCTGGTCAAGATATTGGCGTATGACAACTTGATCAAGCTGGCGGCCATGATGTTCCGTGTCAAGGACTGATACAGTCATGTATTTAGACAGTCTCTGTCTGGCGCGACCTCAAAAGCAGATGATGCGTCGAGACCTTAAAGCAGCAGTGGCGGCTGAAGATTCGCGCCGTTCCCGGACGATGGTCCAAAAGGAGGTACCCAGTTCGTTGACATAACCATACATTCCGGGCAGTCCCTTGGTGACTAGCTGCCTAGCTGCCTAGCTACTGGGTTGGCCCGCTTCAGACGATTGGTCTATTCGGCACAGGCTCGTCTCCAGCCATGAACTGCTCCTGAACAACTGAGCCACGAGTAAGTCAAACCCAAGTAACAAGTGGAAGAAAATATTCTGTGCGGATACCGTGTAATGTGAATTTCTCTTGTGTAGTGTCCATGTCTGGCACAAGGATGTAGCTCTGTGACATTAGCATGTGCTATTCTGTCCTACTGCCTCCTCGTTACCCCTCGTGCCCCGCTACAATCTCATTTCTCGACGGTTAATTGATTAGATTAGATGAAAATTTAATCCTCGCTTGACCTGCCATCCTGTCGCCATCGCTGGTTGCGTCAACTTTTAGCCCAATCCGTCGCATTTTTGGGTGCGCTTCTCTCCAACGTCGTCAAAGAAACACTGTTTTCAAAATCATCGAGACACTTATAAGACCCTTGTGCTGCACACACATAACGTGAGATTCTTATTCTTAAAACCCCTTCAGACCCCCAAAGTCTTCTCCAATTTACGCCACTTTAATCCTCCATTTTCGTTCACAAGGCTGTCCCGCCTTTCGCATCAGCCACCATCAGCCCACCTTTGTCTTTCATCTGTATCAGGACATTGGCGCGATAGACCCCAAGCAGAATGCCGAATTATTCCCCCTTGCAAAGATCACAAATAACCCAATTTGTCAATTTCACTCAGGCCAAGGAGAGCATAGCCGCAAGGGTACGTGAACTCGAGGTTCTTGGAGGCAACTGACTGAGGGCATCGGGGCAGTTTCTGAGACCCCACAATTGGAACCTGGAAAGAGCGCTTGATTCGTAAGTCGGCAGTTTCTCTATTCTTTCGTGCCAATTGACAGACGCCCACCGTGTTGTGCAATTGGGGGTCGCTTTGGGTGGTGAAGTGTCGCGTGACAAAGTGGACCACAGGTTGTCAAAGGCCACGGCACGCAGAATGAAACAAAACTGCCTCAGCCTTTGTTGCGCTGTATTTCTTTGAGGCCGACCTCAATCTGCGAGCGATACGGACGTGAAACTGGCGCAGGCAACCAGGTAGGCAGCGCCTGTGCCTGCCAAGACTGTTGCATCATCATCTCAACACTCAACCCTGAACCCAGTCAAGTCACCTCCAGCTTGCCGAGCTGCAGGTCGATCCTTTTCTCATGTTCATTCCTTCCTCCATTCAGAAGGCCCACTGTTCGCTCTGGGTGACGGATGTGCCTGTCTCTCTCTTCCAACTGTTTACTGTGCATCCATCAACTTATCACTATGCCACCAAAACGCAAGTCCACCGATTCACCTCTGTTGCTGGACGTGAAGTCACCCAAGACCAAAAAGGTCAAGCCTACTGCATCTGCAGCCCAGGCGAACCTCGCCAAGTCATCTCCGCCGACTGTCTCTGCAGTCATGACGCCTATGTCTGTGAAGGTGCCGACAAGAGCCAGGAGGGGTGGTGGCAAAGCGCCTCGTTCCAAGGCACCAGGGTCTGTGCATGAATGCTTACCGATCAAGAGTGACTGACACAAACTCTGTTACAGATTCTATCAAAGTGGATCCGGCAACAACTCTGTTCCTCCCATTCAGCACAACCTCAACAAGCTCTTTGACCAGTATCGCGGTATGCGACTAACCGTGGACGACTCTGACGAGCAACTACTGACCTCCTTCCAGACAATCCCAAAGACGCTCCAGACACAATTGGCATAGAGGGCGCTCAGAAATATCTGACCGATCTGGGAGTGGAACTGGATGAAGTGGCTCACCTGGGCATCTGTGACCTGTTGCAGTGCCCATCCATCGGCGAGTTCGAGCGCGAGTCGTTCGTTTCCGGGTGGCGAAGTGTCAGCTCGGGTGACAAGACATACGATACGACAGCACGACAAGCACAATATGTCGATGTGATCAGAAAGAAACTGGCGAATACCCCAGCCTATTTCAGACAGGTCTACCGTAATGCATTTAAGCTCGCCAAACCCGAAGGGCAACGAAGTGTTCCTGTGGACTCGGCAATCGACTTCTGGAACATGTTCTTCCGGCAAGGCAAAGGGGGAATTGAGTGGAATAGTCCTTCGACCCAATGGTTGGACCTGTGGTGTGAGTTCTACGAGTCGCAAAATAAGAGACCAGTCAACAAAGATCTGTGGAATATGGTTGGTGAATTGGTTATGAAGACTAAAGAACCGGATGGGGAGTCTCTGAGTTGGTGGACAGAAGATGGTGCGTGGCCGATGGCAATCGACGACTTTGTCAACTTCATAAGAGAGAAGAGGAAAGTCAGTGGGGATAATATGGACACTAGCTGAAAGGACTAAGCTGCACTGTCGATGGTGTGCCATTCCGACACAATGTGCGAGCATGGCCGGAACCGAACCTGGGTGATGGGTAAACGGGGCATGCGCATCGTACTCGAGACCTTGTATGCTAGAAGGACAAGATTTTAGCGGACAGCACACATGGAGATAATGTGAACATGCTATCAACAAACTTGGAGGGACAATACTGCCTGGTAGTTTCCCTTGTCTTGAGACGGGCACGACGGGACCCCTTTCGGCACCCAACGTCACGTGATACGTGATACGGAAGACTTGCTTACTCAGGCGTGTGGCTCGTGCGGCGATCGATCTATTCGCTTCGCTTACCTCGCTCTGCTCGCTGTCACGATAGAATAAATCCTTTGGGCTGCGTGACACCCTTTTGCTTGTCTCTACAGAATCTGCACCCATTTTTCATGTTATTACAAATCTCTTCCAGCACTGAATCTTTTCTGGTAGGAATGTCTCACTAGACTGTCCGCCCATTGTTTCTCTTTCATCTGGCTGTTTGACTTCGCATTGACATTCATCGTTCTCTCTCCACCTCAACTCCAGACATGGTCCCCGCTTTCTCTCCAGCTCGAGGCATTCATCCTTCTCTCAAGAACCGGCGATTGTAATCTTGTATAATCGCATTCCCCAGAGTCCCACTGCTATTCACATCATCTAACCCGGGTACCCACACTATGCTTGGTCCGCAGCCATAACTCTCGATTTGTCCAGATTGGCCCCGTTACCCCAGTCCTCGAATGCCCATGTCTGTGTAGCCTCATCATCGACCTCGGACACGCAATGCACAGAAGATGCCTTTACCTTCGAGGGAGGTCCTGACCCTCCGTTTGATTTTCGACTGTGATGGAGACGAAGAGGAAGAACCGCAACCTGCTATATCCCAAGATCTGTCGAATCCCTCATCGCTGCTGCGGCTGCCCGTCGAGCTTCGCCTCAAGATCCTCCGCTACCTCCTGCGCATAGATCGCAACCGCAAGGCCCACACGCGCCGACCCCCGCAGAACAGCATCTCCGAGTTGCTCTACTTGAATCCGAGGCGCATTCTCGAGGCCGCACCATTCAAGCACAAGGGCAATCAAGAGATCAACGGAAGCCCGCCGGTCATAAATAGCTGCCAGCTACACCCCGCCATCCTGAAAACATGTAAACAGCTCTACCTGGAAGGCAAGACGGTCCTGTACACCGAGAACAAGGTGGTTGGGGTGCAGTCGGCCATCAGAGGGCTGGGCGCGAAGCTGAAAAACTACGGCATCCCTGTCTTTGGGCCTTTTCCATCGTCACGGCTGATCAACGCCCCGTATGATAAATCGAAGCCGTGGGAGTCCAGGTTTGACCCTGTCATGCTTTTCAGTGGTGGAAATACCAAGGCCGACGCTCCCTTCTATGTCTGTGGCTACAAGGACTCGGCGGACTTTATGCACGCTCTTTGGATCATGGTCAAGTGTCCTTTTGCGAGAGGCATGGGATACAATCTGTCGTTGCCGGCGGAGCCGCAGTATCGGTACGTCAGCCGAACTGACAGCTTTGTGAAGTTTGCTGTGTTGCCGTGGCTACACAACCACATCAACTCGATCAACTTGCATAGCCCGATTCCAGAGGCCACATCAGAAAACAAGCCACAGGTAACATCTGACACGTGCAACAGTCGAGTCACGCCCCTTCGTGATGAGCTTGCCAAACATGTCCTTGCCAGCAAAACGGAGCCTAACCTTCACACATACAAAGCAATCTGTGCTTACCTTGAGCAGGTCCTGCTTCAGGGCGAGATCTGCGTCGATCAAGGCAACTTTGTTAGTGGCGAGTTGATTTTCGAGCGCGTGTGCTACGAGGCTTCTAGCATCGTACGCACCAGAACAAGCAAACTGGTGGATGTGTCCTCCAAGAGCAAGGATGGCATCAATCGGGTGTGCAAGCTAATTGCCGTTAGTGCGTACAGACTGTGCGAGCTTCGCAGCGGTTCTTTAGCCCGGCTCATTGCAAAAAGAATGCAGAACTTGTCAGCAAAAGGAACGGCGGTTGCTGAGTCAAAGCAGCGGGAAAATTGCCAGGTCACCGAAATTCCAAAGGAAGACGATGGTCAATCCTCGGACGACTCGGCGTCAGCAACTCACGAAGACAGCTCATCCGTCACACCAACATCCGAGACGCGGACCAGCATCAGTGAGGAAACGGGCGAAAAGCCTGACGAGGTCTCCGCAGTCCATCCACCGGATAAAACCCAGACGAAAACAACACTCTCGACCACGTCACTGACGCATCCCATTCCAAGAACGACACGTCTGGAGCCGCAGCTGGCCGCCGACCTCGCCCTGACCAGCGGTCTTCTTGCGTTACGCCTGCCCTGTGCCTCGCCTGTGCCGGAATGGAACATTCGTCTCGACATTATGCTTTTGAGGCTTTTCGCTGAGAGGGATGACTTTGCCAATGCGGTTTGGAGCATTCGTCGCATACATAATAACGGTACCGTCGAACTGCAGAGTATGAAGCA